TGTGGATTCCTTCAGTTCATTATAAATCAGCATGTATAAAAGTTCCATGCTCTCCTACTGTTTTGCATCATATTTCAAAATGCAGTTCTTCAAAAGATCAACTATGTTATAATTTCATTCCTTTCAAATCATAATTATATATGCAGTTGTCATTTTCTAGCAGTTATCAATAAAAATATGGCACTGTACTCCTTGCAGCTTAAATTGACTTCAACATGTTTTTATTTCTGTGTTTGATTATCTTTTTCTGTTTTTCTTCCCAAATGTACAGATTCTAACTGAACTTGTTTTAAGGGTCAGAGTTAATTGCAAGAATCTAGCTGACTAGATCACGATAACTTCATTAAACAAAACGTGAACTGGTAAATAAAACTCAGAGTGCAGGCGTAAGTACGTGCTTTTGTGATATTTCAATTACTTGGGAAAAAGAAAGTTTGCCATTCAGTTCTGGATAGGTTTTGTCCAGCTCTAATAGAGGCTGAAAACAAGACACGTTAAGGTTTAGGAGTGAGGAAGTAAAGGCAGTTCTGTTCTAAGATTTCTAATCTGTTTCCTCTTGCTAGCATTCAACACAATTCATCTCAGCATAATAGAAACAATCTTCAGGTAACTTCAGGTATTTGGCAATAGGAAGCTTTAAACAACCTAAACAACAACTGTACTTAAACAGTTCTGTCTTATTTATCTTTTTTGGTTTGGCAGTTTTCTGTATTCCAGCTTCTGTATGTCTGTTTTTCTAGCTGCGAGATAATGCTAATTAGGTTAAACAGCAATGACTGATTTTCAGGGAGTCTACTCTAAAGCTTCTCTCCAAGTTCTTCAGATACTTTCACACTACCTGGTTTGATTCTGCATTTTCATTTTCAGCAACTTTTTGGTTCATCCTGTGTTCTGCTCAAAAACAAATGCTTAAGGATGAATTTTTTTTGATCTGTACTGTTACTGCTACTCAAATCTCACAATCATAAGAGAAAAGAAACAAGAAAAAAACATAATGTCCCAGTCATCTCAAAACTGTAAAGCTACTGATTTTTATGTTGACCAGCAAAAACAGGTGAGCTGAAACAGACACCTTAGGACACCCTCCAGCCACAGCAATTTTTCAGTGATCTTTCACTATTTTAAGTACCATTTTTATATTCTCTTTAATGCATTTCGCGAAGTTCATTTTACAGTATGATGCTTTTCCTCATTATACAGACTCCGTTCCTTGTCCTGGCTTAACTGCTGATTCTTGTTTCCAGTGTATTTGTGTCCTGCCCATATCCTGTTATTCACTTGTATCTGAATACTTTCCTGCATTTGGCCAAGGAAAATATTCTGTCAAGTTTTACTTCACATGGTTCATTTCTCCAGAACACTCCTGTAGTCCATTCCTTTAAGAAAGTCATCTTCATCTTCCATCCCTATTTCCTCTTCTGATTACATCCATCTTTCTCACCTATCCCTGAAATGAGGCTCCACGATAGCTTTATACAATCTGGGGCTTCTATGCTTCACATGAAGATAGTAAGAATCCAATTTAAAAAAAAAAAAAAGTCCTTTCTATTTCTCTGAATAACATTCCCTTCCTGTTCTTTAAGGAATATTTGGATTTGACATAGAATTTATCCTATGTCAAAAATCTTGGCAGCAAGATTTTTGAGACTGTTGAGTGCTTTTCTAGTTTTACCGATCTCAGCACAGTTTCACATAGAAATCACTGTTTCTAAAAAACTGCTAATCAGGCAGTCTTTTTCAGCTTATTTCAGTCCTAAGCATTCATATTTCACATAAAAATTTGGCTCCGTATTTTAAAAATACCAGAAAGGTCTCCCAAGATGTAAGGTAAATTGCATATCACATGCCAAAGGAAATAGGTCATTCATACAGACACAAGGAAAGCAACTGTAGTGACTTGAGCATGTGTTACACAACTGCAAAATTAAAAGCTATTTCAACAACAGCAGGATGGATACCTAAGCATCTCGCAGCTGTTTTGCAGACAGGTACATCATGAAGTTTCATCAGCGTTTTTCACACAGGCATCAATACGTGATATAAATGACTATCTATGTTTGTGGTACTGAGTTAGTTATTTTGACAAATCTTTTCAAAACTGGAAGTATGTCAAGCTAGCCTTGATCCTTTTTCAGTGATGCACATAATGCACACTGGTTACATGTATGTTGCATTTTTTGAACAAATGTGTCTCAGTCTCTGTTTATTTCTTTGAGATTTTACTTTGAGAATGAGTATTTTCAGGCAGGATGGATTATAAATTTGGGATAATTTCTGACATTGATTGCAATTACTCAAGCAAAACAGCACTGTAAAAATCACCTCTAAAAGTCTGAGTTCAAGAAAATATTTCATAATATTCCCATCACTGTGTAAAGGAGTGTTTTACAAAGGCTTCAGAACGTCTGCAATGAAGGTGATTCCATAAATAATGCTTGCACAGTGGTTTCTAAGGTATCTTGTGTCTCTTTTGTGACGTAACTGGTTGTTATGGAGATGGTAAAATACCAACCATCTTTTTGTGAGAGTGTGGAAGATCAATTTTGGATCTGTTATAGCAGCTTCTTCTCCCTGCTCAGCTGTAATCAGCCGTCCTTAGGAAGCCACAGAGATGTACAAGTAGTATAGTATATTTTAAAATAAACAGATGTTTGCACAACACTTAAAATTGTTTTGCACATGGAAACAAATTCACTCGTAACAGATGCAAATTCCACCCAAAATTCCTCCAAATTCAAATATATCTAAACAATGCAAATGAGGCTATTATTATTTAGGTTTAACAGCTTACAAAGAAACAAGTCATTTCCTCTTCACTCCATTTCTGATTTCATAATCTATATCTTATAAAAATGCATTGTTTCTTACAGCAAGAAGGGCAAAGATTAATATTTTTAAACCTTAAAACCTTCAGTTAAACACCCAATTGACCTTAAATTTACAGAGAATACATTGTCTGGAACCACCGCAAATTATTCTTCTGTATTTTTAATATGCCTGACTCATGCCAGCCCATGAGTCCAAGTGTGCATGTCCCCAGCCAGTGCAAGAATTCTGAACTTCATGTTTTGCCACTCAGAAACAGAGCCCTTGAACCATCCCCCAAGGTTAAACAGCTATAACTATTGTTTCCTGTTCGTTTTTTTGTTTGTTTGTTTCTTTTTGACATAAACCTTGGGGAAAGCAAATGAGTTTTATGTTTTGATTATTATTATCTAGCATTGGCTGCATTTTAAATCTCTAAGTACTCGCTCACATTTTACTATACGTTACAGCTTGTATTACAGCTGGAAAGAATATTGTGGAAATGGGAAAAGAAAACAAACAGGGAAGGAATGCTCACCTGCATCCAAACATATAGGTTTGCATGAAAGACTCCACAGAGGAGGGATCTCCAGAAAGAGATCCTTCCCCAGTGGCAATCAGCCCTTAAACAAAGTCTAGGAGGGAGGGAGCGAGGCTTCACCCCTTCCAGTCACACAACTGAATTGCTTTTACCTGTGCTCCCAGGGCTGACTCAGTCCTTTTCTCAGGTGACCAATCAGTGGTTCAGGCTGTGACCCAACACTAGCTGAGTCCCACACTAGTTCCCATACACTAGAATATACACCAATTGCTCTTTTCACTCTGACATCTCTTCCACTGTATTGTCATATATACCTACTTCTATAGCATTTAAAAAAGTGAGTAGTAGCATGGATTACAGTAGATAGACAATAAATGAACCATTTTGTTCTTTCCTGTAAACACTTCTTTCCATTTTAGTATTTACCTTCATATTGTGGCTGATCTCATGTTATCAATGTTTGAGATTATTTTGAGCTATACGATGTTATAGCTTATTAGTGCTTCCGAAACACTTTTTTTTACAATTTTTTTGGTCCATCTACTTGACAAGTCTGTAATTAAGGTTACAGGACACACAGCTGAGTCAAGGTTTTCAGAGTCTTAAATCAAGATAGTAACGTGGGAACTCCTCCTTCTTCCACCTTGTATTTAAATGCTCAGACAAGCACACACAAAAACATACTCCCCTGCAGCACAATCTACAGAACATTCTGAATGCCTGATATAACATTCTAATAGAGAAGGAGAAGTAAATGTTTGAAAGTACATTAAGATCCTCAAAAGATAGACAAGCTTATTTCACTAGAGCAGACATGAAGTCCTCGTTAAATTTACCTATCCCATAAATACCGGTGCTGTTTGGACCAATGTAGTAATAGATCAGGATGAGAATTACGAGTTGTGTCTCTTGCTAGCGCACAGAAATAGGGTATTAACTATCATTTTTTAAAGGACCTTTCCTACATTAAGTGAATCCATCTCGCAATAGAGCAAATGGATCAACAAAACAAATCAACTACCCAACTGCAGAAAAACTGCATGCCTTTCCTCAGACCAGAAATTTGCGTATAATGTAGCAGAAATCACAAACATGCACAGAATCATATTCACACTGTGTAAGAACATGCAGGGCCAGCTTAACTTCAAAAACTTTAGTCCAAGAGAGGCTTGATCCCATGTGTGAAACCTCAGGAGACTGCATAATTGCAGACTTCAGTTTCTCCAGCTCAAGCTCTCAGCTGTAGATTCTTATCTACCTATATCTATAGCGTATATTCAACTATTTTGTGAAGGTTCTTTAGATGTCCCATACTGGTATTTTTCATCCAAAAAGCATTTCTATAGAATTACATAGTGCTTAAATGTGTTTGATTGGGAAGTCATAAAATTTTCAAGACAACCCTAAATTATTTGAAGATCATCTGTATTTTTATGGAAACATTACAGAGACAAAAATAGTGAATATTAATACTGTTCAAAGAATCCAGTTTGTATATTCTGATAATACTTTCATTGACAGTTGCCATAGACATGGAGAAAAGTAGAAATATGGTCCTTAGATGGGAAGAAAAGATATTTGTTGATTAAAATGCCAACAAATTATGCATTACAATGAATGGAGACAATTCAGGATTCAAAAAACATTTGCCTACCTCAGGAGCCATCCAAAAGGGTGTTCCCACTGAGGTGTTTCTACGTAGCCGTGTGCTGGTGAGCTGGGCTGAAACACCTGCAACAAAACAGAAACAAATTTGGCTTCAAATTTGTTTAATCAGGTCAATCAGTTTATGTGAAGTATGTAGGAAACAAGCCTCTGAGACTGAGATCACAGCTACAGGCCAAAGTGCAGTAGTGTTTCTACTGAATTCTTCGATTAATTTCATTTTTCCACAGCTCATCCCAGACAGACCACAGCTTGTTGTTTTCTTTCTGAATTGCTAAGAGATTTTTTATTAACAATCTCAGTCTGAAGCACTTTCATTCAAATTCAAAAATTTAATCAGCTCTTAATATCACAGATGCCTCCTTCTGCAGTTTTTCATGAGTATAACCTGGAACATTTCAAATTCCAATCTGTTTTAAACCTATTTTCCAGAAATGTTGCCCAAGCCTAGCTGAAATTTATTCCCTGAATGCTGCTGGCAGGAACCTTGCAGAAGTTCCTTCTCAACAAAACATTTATGCACTTGTTTAAAACAAATATTTTCCTGTGAAAAACATGGAAGCTTAAGTTCACATCTTAGCTTGTACTTAGGAATTAAGCAAGTGCTTAAAACAAAGCCTGTGCTTCATTGGTTTTCTGACTGAGGCTAAGCTAGTGAAGCACAGCAGAAAAAAGGAAGGAAGGAACTAGTGAAAAATGAAACAATAGTAAAAAATCAAAATGAAATTTCAAATCAAATCATTTTATGTGCTCTTGTCAACTGTGCTCCTGTAGAATTCAGGAGCATTCAAATAAGCTGAACAAATGCAATACTGACAAAAGATTTCACATTATCATTGTTGGGAAAAAAAAAAAGAAAACACAGTACCCCCTACAAAGAAAAACAGGTAGAAACACACATATTAGATTTGTGCCTGATTTCACTGAGTAAGAAATTGAGACTCAAAATCAGTAATTTGTAAATTAAGCAATTAGATTGCTGTATCAGTGATTCAACTCTGTACTTATTTTTCATTTCAGTGTGATCACAAGTCTTGATTTGATGGGTAACACTGTGAAACAGCTAATGACTAGAGTCTACAAGCCTCCATGCATTTAACTGTTTTCTCTAAAGCTAGCCTAACTTGTAGCTGCCATCTATGGACATCCCAAAACAGCATGGAACACCAAAGAGCTGAGACGGAGAAAGGGAGAAGGAGGGAAGATGGTGAAAAAAAGAGAAGGAACATAAGTGAGTGATGAGTTGCAGACATTTTGGGTCACCTTACACTAGGGTCAACATTTATTCAAGTATGTCATGCTGCTGAGTGAAGTTGAAGGAAAAAACATATTACACTGAAAAAAGAACAAGTTGCAAAGTCACGCAATAAAAGCAAACAAATAACTCTGTGCAATCCTCTCACTGTGCTAATATCAATGCGTACTGCCCTTGAGTAGGAATTCACTTTCTCTTCCCCCTACATAATGGATAGAACTCACTGACTAGGTAATCTCTGAGTATTTCCTTTTATCTCCATCAATTTGGATTCTAGACCCTTATTTAGTATGCCCAATTCAATATTAAATCTAGAATTATTGTTTCCTTTCCTATTTCCTTTGCTCCTTATCACAAAACAAATCTCCTTAACATTCCTTCAAAATGGGAGAGGATTATTAGTTCCAGGGATTAGCCTAAAAATATCAAATGCATCCACTGTTTTTGTGCTCTTAATCTGAGATCTTTCAGTTTTCAGGCACTCCATATGACTAAAGTAGAGTTGTAACGTTCTCAGCTGCAGCTCAATCAAACTTAGCTCTTCTGCAAGGTAGTACAAAATATTTCAGTCTGGATATGAGGAAAACGAGGAACACAGAATGGCCATTTCTAAAAAGCTTGATGCAAGTGACTTGCCAACAAAGAGAAACCCTAGCAGAAGCAAGAATTTGATGCCATTCAGATACCTGAATAGCAAAACCCTTCTCTTCCTGAACTCTGCATTTTTCACTAAACATCATTCACCTCCTGCAAAAAATAGGACAGGTCTACAGACAACAGTTACAGCTGCAACTCAGTCCTAATTTGATCCTAAGTCCTTTCTATGAATAAAGCAGTGGGCTAGCAAGAGAAAGAGCAATTCAACGAAACCTTATTGCATAGTGCTTTGTCAGATAGGAAGTACATTTCAGCATTTCCTAGTGGTTAAGTACTAGGAAACACCTGAGTGTTTGCTCATGTCTTTTTCTGAGGTATATTTGTTATAATTTGCCACTGTTACTGGTGAATGTTAAATGTTAAGAAATAAAAAAGCCCCAACAACATGAAAAGAGATCAGATGCCAGAAATCTTGGGATTCTCAGTATTCCTGAACACGCCACTTAGGTTTGTATACCACAGGACTCGGGATCCAAGCTGAGCTTCAGCAGCAGCTAATGCCATTGACATGTATGATAAGAATTGTCAGAGAAAGAAGCTAGTATTTCCCAGAAGGGCGTAGTTACAAACAATGACCATACTGATAGAGAAATTACCTGTCTCCCTCGTACTAGCCCAGGGACTTGCTGCAAATTTTGCTTCAGGCCATGTTTCTTCCAGCACTATTTTAATTGTTACCTCTACTGTTCAACATAATGAATTTCTGTCCCTAGAAGGTACTGAGAAGTTTGCTACTTTCTTGGTTGCAACTTACTTTATAATCTCCAAAACAATCATTTTTAATGTCAAATTTGTAATACTGATGATGTCATGGTATTATATTTATTTTCCACTATATGATTTCATTTTTTTAATCATTACTATTTGCAGGATTTTTGGCACATCATCGTATGCTACTCTGAGTTTGTGAACATTTTTCTTTACCTTCACGCACCACTGAACATACATCTGTTATCCAAGTGATACCATTCTCAATGATGATTACCTTATGCATTTTATAGTTAACTAATGAATCACATATTACTAATAATTTATTTCCATTGCTTACATATCTGTCAGACTACATACAGCTCTGTGTTATTTTTCTGAGTGGATATATATAAGAAGAAAAATGCTGAACTGAATTAAATTTTATTGACAAGTCCCTTTCTCTTTTCCTCTCCTTACCCCTCTATTTCTTACAATATTTCCAGACTGGCCATGCTTGTATATAACAGCAATAATAACATATTAAATGGATATTGGGTTTTGGACACATGGGACCATTTTACCTTCTGCTCAGAGGGAACAAAATGCTAGAGGCTAGCAAATGTCATTTCAAAGAGAAGGATGCTTTCTTTTCATATGCAAAACACACAGAATTTAAATTTAAATTAGGACAATTACTGTGAAACTGACATTCTTTGCAAAATGCAAAAAAAAAAAAGATTTGTAAATGACACCTTCAAAAATATTTTAAACAATAAATTATTATGATTGCTCTTTTAAGTTAAAAATGTCTTACGATTTTTTGATACCATTTTCCTTCTTGCTGTATCAAGTTGCTTTCCCATTTTTCCTCCTTAAAATAATCTTGATAATCGTCCTGAAAATCTCTCACTATAGCATTCTGCCTTCCCAGTGGAAAGTAAACAGATGCCTTTGGCTAAACTGCATGTATCAGGAAAACAAATGGGAAGTGGTCATTACCAAAGTCAACGAGCTTGACTCCACCTTCTGTTGTCAGAAGAATGTTGTTCCCTTTGACATCTCGATGAATGATCCGGTTATTGTGTAAATGCTGAAGGCCCTATATGCCAGCAGTAACAAAAATAAGTTTACTCCCTTATTTAAAAACAATTACCACCCTACTATTAGGGAATGTAATGAAGACAATCTGCACAGAGTCTATAGAAACATCTGTCCGCCGGATTACATGCTTGATACAACCCCTACTGCAGTAATAGCCCAGATAATATTGTCAACATTATCATTCTTTATAAATGGAAAATATATGCATGAGATGAGCAAATTGCACCCTCTGCTGTCATTACAAGCCCAGTGAACAACCTTACCAAGAGAGCACCATATAAGATGTATGAGATCATAGCTTCATCCAATTGTTGGCCACACTTCAGCAAACCTTTGACAAGTTCTGTGACAGACCCTCCATTGCACAGCTGTGAAGTGGGAAGACACAAAGGTGGAAAAAAGCGAGACATGATCTCAGTTACTCAATGCGCTTATTTAGGCTGTAAACAACTACTGCACAAAACTGTATGACAACAAAAGTCAGGGAACAACCAGATTTTTACTTTTCCATTATCCATAAATTTATCTATGTAAGGAAAATGCATTTTTTTTAATGTCAGAAGTCTTTAAAGTCTGAAAAACATGCACCAAAAGTAACTGACAAGAGCGTACCTAGTTGGTAAGGTCTATATAGACCTAGCTCTTTCAAATTCTACATTCAATTTCATTATATAGAGTATTTCACAATTTTACCATATAAAATTTTATTATATGAAATACCACATATAACCTGTCTGATATGCTACACTTGGGGAAAAAAAAAAAGAAAACACGTGGAAATCCAAGCGCAAATTCAATACAAAGCCAGTAGGCATACAGTAAAAAGCAACAGCAAAACAAAGATACTAGATCTCCTTTATCAATAGGTAATGGAATTTAATATGAAATGTCAAAGAACATTCATGCAAGCTACACGATTCTACCATAGACAGAAGTTAAATGCGTTGTTGAGATTCTATGACTTAAAGGGGATGTAAAGCTTTTCCATTCTGATTCAAGTTGTCATTCAAGAATAGGGAATAGAATTTCTAAAATGAACTGTAATTAAAAAGCAAATGCTAACCTTTTCAACCTACTTATAACACAACAAAATGTTTGAATGCCATTATACTGAACATCAGCCTGTGCAAAGTTCTGCATCTATTAAGCCTGGAAATTGTTTAGAAATCCTCACTCATCTTGCAAAAATCTTTCGCAGTCACTTAACTGGCAACAAGACGACCATGCATCATTTTACATTTTTCACTGCAAGAATACCGATTGCCACTGAAGAATTAATAGTAGGCATTTCTGGTGCTAGATTCTAGAACAACCAAATTCTAGTTTTATATTACATTTTCCCTGTTCATTTTGCAACAGGCAGCATGTTTGTTAATTGTTTACCACGTTACTTCTACATAATGTTTCGCATTTCCCTTGAGTGCTTGACTTCTCAAAAAATTTGAACATTATCTCCTCCAACAAGAAAAATCAAGCTGTTTTTAAGCAAAACATTCTTACCAACAAGATACAGTGGTTTTTGAAGCAGAATGTAGCAACTTGAATAGAAATAAATTGTAAGCACGTTCACTCTTAAACAAATTTTTGTGAGATTTTCAACAGTACATTATGACATATCATCTATCACCAGTCTTTTGATAAATGGCCCCTATCAGAAAATCATGAAAGCTGGTGACTCTCCTAGCAACAGAGAACAGAGACCCACCAACATTCACTAGTTAAGATGTAATATTATCAAGATGTTTTTACCTCAAGTACTAGCCAGAGCTGTCCTCCCACATATTGATCTGCTTTGTAGAACATCCCATAAAATCTAACAACATTAGGATGATTGGGAAGAAACTGCAAAATATTATATTCTGCTTCAATTTCTTCATCTACATCCTAAATAGGGAAATACAAACAGAACATACAAACACAGTAAGCCCGTAAAGCAAGTAAAGCAAGAATAAGCTCTTATGGATAAAAAGAGCTATTTTTAAGCAGTTTGTACTTTTAAATGGCTTTCTTCTCGCGCTGCTGAAAGTACTCACATGAAACTGCAAATTAAATCCAGTATTTAATTTAATCAAATCCTGACTTGATTTTTTTACATACAGAAATGTGAAATCTGTATAAAGCAAGCAGTTCCTCTTCAAGGACTCTTTTAATGAGTAATATATGCAACTAGAAAAGTAAAAATTGCTCTAAACATTACTTAGCTGTCTAAATAAGATTTTTTTCATGTATTAATTTCAAACATGCAAGTTTCTTAATGTGCAAGAAAAACATAGTTATATGAACCTTTGATTCATTATTTTTTCTGTGGTCCAAACAGGACAACAGATGGGATCAAATAATTTCACAGAACCTCCAAGTGGAATGTTGTAAAAATAAAAACATTAAGACGGACATACACTAGAAACTATTAAAAAGAGAAATATCAACATTCATTAGCAAATGTTACTAAGCATTTGTTAATATAACAGTTCTGTGACAATTTAAAAAGTGTTGAATATCAGCTCATAAGCCAAAATTCAGAACAATACCTAAGCAGTAAGTTTCCTTGCTTCTGCAGAGAAGGCAACTACTAAAAATATTAAAGATTTACGTGGAGGGTTGTTTTGGCTTGTTTTTTTTTTTTTGTTGTTTTTTGTTTTTTTTTTTAATCTATCTTGAGGCTATCGTCTTACTTAGCACTTTTCCCAGAATTACACAAGAGAAAAAGCAAGGCTTCAGAAGTAGTAAATGATAGAAAAGCAACCTTTCATAGTAAATAGACTCGCTCAACTGTTACAATCAAACTCCAGCTTGATCCAATCTGTACAGTGGTCAGTTAACCCTTCCACTGAGAGTGAGGGCCTAAGCTCTAAAGGGTGGTCAGGGACTTAAATCCCACTAAAACTGGAGCTAGCAGAGAACCACTTCCAAGAATTTTGCCTGGGCTTTAATTATTGCTTATCAGTGTTAGACGCTTACAGAAGACAATTGCAAAATATCATGAAGTTCACAGTATTTTTGCAATGGAAAAAGCAATCCTTTTAGGGAACGTAGAATAAGAACATTTAACATTAACAGTATCTTTTATCTTCCTTCCTAAAACAGACCCCTAAGAGGAATGCCTTTGTGCTCTCCTGTTACATGCATGCTCCAAGCACAGATGTCTGAATTTGTACTGGACGACTTACATAGATATAAAAATGAAACTTAGCAAATGCTATTTTCAAATAGCATGCAAGATGATTAAATTTTCAGCAGCACCTTTCAGGTTTCCTTCTGCCAACACACTGCAAAAACATTTCCTCCAGGATGCTTTCAATATCTTATGTTTAACTTATATTTTAAATCTCTTTAAAAATTCTTTTAAATTAGCAATGAAGTTTAATACTTTTACTTACACTAATAGGATCGAGAATCTTTACTGCTGCCAGACTCCCATCTTTCTTATTGGCAACCTTATAGACTTTACCGTAAGTGCCTTTTCCAATAGTCTCTATAATTTCCCAGGTGTCTGTGGGATCAGCTAATGATTCTAGTCCAATCATACTGGAATTGTATTGAAATAATCCATACAATGGCTTCCTGAAAAACAAAGCAGACAGACGTACAATCGGAAGCTTTAAGTAACTGAACTAAAGCAGCCATGTTATGATAAAGAAATCAAATATTGAAAAGAAACACAGATGGAATGACAAATGAAAATCTTGCAGAGAGATAAGATCACTAGATAAAGGAACGCAAAGAAAACACGCTAGACCATTTCTCTTTACTTACTTTGCTGCATGTATTAACTCTTTGCTTTATATATTGCTGCATACGCTAAATAATTCTGAACCCATTTCTGAACTTTTGACAATATCTGATCTCTCTCTTTATTGCATGCACTTTTAATGGACATTTTATACAACTGGTTTAACACAACTCATGAAATGAGACCTTATTTCCTGTGCATTAAAAAGCTATGTCATTCATGTAATGTATTTTATCTAACTCCCTGGATAATTGCCAGGCAAACACTCAGTAGGTAAAACACTTCATCATATCTGATACATCTACAATGGCGCTGTACATAACCAGTTCATTAGTTTAGACCGGGCTGGCAGATATCATAAAATACAAAGCAATTTGATAATAAACAGAAATGTCACTAGAGTAACAATTATCACTGAAAATGTTTCTCAGCAATTCCACTTGTCTCTGTCCCTGTTTCAGTGAGCGTGGCTGTCAGTATGCAGACCACCTCAGCTACCTTTGCACTTAACTGGAAAATATAAGTTCTGAGATCCATGAACAAACTGAAGGAGAAAAATTATAAAGTAATCTTGAAATAAGCAATTGAAGACAACACCATGGTTAACTGCAAAAGCTCCCAGCTTTTGGAGGTTAATCAGCTAGCACCTCACTCCAAATGATCCCAAACAGACCTGACTTTTAAGGTTTGAGCCATTTCCCACTGTCTTATTATCTTCTATAACATTGCCAGCAGCACTGACAACTACCTGGCACCAAGAATTTAGTCAGAAAGAACGTGAACCTGATAAAAAGTCTGAGAAATTAAAAAGGAATGAAGCGGCAGCTATTCAATGTAATTAAAGAAATAACTATGTTTTCTAATCATGCTAGAAAGGAAAATAAACTGCATTCAAATTCACATGCAGCCCAGATCTGTGTATGCAAAATGGAGATGTTTGTTTGCATGCTTGATATCTTTGTAGGGGAAAGAAGTTTTTAAATTCCTTTAAATGCCAAGAAAAAAAAGCACTGACATGTAATTAAAGAAATTTACCACACAGAAAACACAAAACATTCCATTTCTTGATGAGGGGAGAGAAAGGGAGGGGAAGAGACGAAAGGAAAGCAGAGGAGAAAAAGAAAAAGCTAGTCAATGTCATTAATCTGCTGAAGGTCAATAATAATCAGGACAGTTTCTCACTACTTGGATTCAATACAGCTTGCTGCAAATAAAGAATAGTATTCCAAACACATACAGTCAGCACCTCAATTGAAGCAGGTCAAGAGAGAGAATTTGCTGAAATCGGTGAACAGACTGTACTGCATGAACTGAAGACAGCATCCTCAGACATGTAGCTTCTGATAAGCCAACCTTAACAACAAGCTTTACTTGGGGTAGGAAGACAAATGCAAATGTAAGCGGGAACAGTTGTATCCCAAGTTAAAAAAAATAAACAAAAGCCAAAGACATATTGAACATGTCACTTTAGTACTTTAAGAGAAATATTACAGATGTTCATGTGTAAAGGCAACTGCCATTTGCCTATCAGTACAACAACTAGCCTATCACATAGAATGTCCAGAAAATGATGCGTAGTACTCTTCACACCAATGTAATATTTATTAGAATGCCTCCCTTTCTAAGCAGCCAGTGTGAACAAATATATTTTTCTTTAAAATAAAAAAAAAAGTTGTGACGTTTCCTGAATTTGTTCTGGTAAGTTACCATTAAACACTATCTCTGAATTTTCAACTTTTAGAAAAATTGTAATGAGTAAGCACTTCTCTGCATTCTTATAACAAAGTAGAACTTTGTTCATGTCAAGCTTAGAAGCAGATTTGCCAAATATGTAGCACAATCATCTTCTGCTTAAACTAAAAGTCTCTTCTTGAACTCAAACAATACATACCAAACGAGGTTCTGTATCTGCCACCAGTGAGTGTTCTTTGAATGCAACATAGTAAGTTATGACATTTCTGGGATAGATGTAAAAATTTTACATTATAAAAAAGCAAAAGAACAGTATATATCTTAAACATCATAAATGTCTAACTTTTTTTTAAGTGCAACTTCTGCTTTTTCTTCAGTTTTTGCTTACTTACTCAAAATAGTGTGCCTTAAAACAAGGGCTGCGCATTTTTATTTATTTGTACAATGAAAAGTTACACACACGAATGCAATGAATTCTATAAAACCCCACATCCACAAGACCTTAACTCTAAAATGCAAAAGTTGAAATTTCTTTAGGAAGACTTTTCCTCTTTTACTGCTTGCACATCAGATCTCATACCTGTTCTGTGCTTTGAAGTGATATACAAAGGGTGGCTTCTAGCTGTGCAAAACTCAGCACTGTCCTCCCTGGAGGGAGCCTCAACCTATTTCAGACCTCCTGATTACAAGAATTTCACAATTTCTGCCACCAGATGGAGAAAACTTCTCAGTGGTTAAATCTGTTCCAAGCGGGCAAGCAAAATAGCCCACAGCAGATGCTGAAAAATTACACTTTGGCAATTAACTCTACTGGCTAGGGAACATCTTACACAAAGCTATTTGTGACTGCACACTCTTAAGCTATTTGAGGAATGACTAGATGTTATAAGCAACCCCCTTGCACTCTACCAAACCTTATTTTACATACTAAAGAACACAAAGCAAAAGGACAACTAGACGGGAGTCTCAACAAGATGCTCTCAGGCAGAAACAGGAGCAAATGCAAGATTTTCTTTTTTTTTTTTTAAAGAGAGAGAAACTACTTTTTTTAAGTTGTAAACCTCTGTTGACCATCCATGGGAAACAAAAGGAGAAAACAAAATCTTAACAGGCTTCAGCAACTGACAGCGTTTCTTTCAGTTGTCCATGAAGCGAGACATTCCCCATTGAGAAAGTAAATTTCAATAGTTTTTTTTTTTTTCTAACACCAAGACATTTTTGAAAACCTTTAGAAGTCAGAACAAATCAAGCGAGACTATGTGCAATAGACTAATTTTTAAGATGGCAGATGCATAAACAAGTTTTATCTAAATTTAAAGAAAAAATAAGATGGGCATTAGAATCAGTAATTATGTATTACCCTCTTAACAAGAAGATAAACAGACTGCAAGGTTTGTCTGATAAAAAAAGTGTGGATGTGACAGTAAGGGCCTTGATTTAGTGACAGGATTCAGAAAGACAGGTTGATGATTGAACATTTTCTTGAAGGTCTTTTCCAACCTAGATGATTATGTCATTCTATAAAAAGATAACAAAAGAAATACTGCTTACAGACTGTCCACAAGTCATTTTTCCCTTTGTGAACCACAGTCTTCTCTAATGGCTCTAAACAGCCCCCAAGAAAGCCTTCTGGAAATTACATGGTATTCCAGAAGTTGTTCTTTGATTCTCAATGCAAATTCACAAAGTTCAAACTATATTGTGAAAATAATAAAAAAGACTGTACAGATATATTATGTAGAGATTTCACATGACGTAACAACCTCTAGAATAAAGTCAACATTTTTCTGGCACATTTATTATCCTGCAGCTATCTTTCTCAGAAACAATAGGAACAAGAGGGACCCATAAGCAAGAGAAACAGTGCCAGAAATAGCTTAAGAATTGCAGTTCTCTTTTTGATAATGCCTTACTGAATTTTCATACAAGAGTTATCTGCCTTATTGACTTCAAACAGGCACCCTTTTTCTTGTTTATTATAAAACAAGATAGCTATACAGGTTTTAAAATTAGTATGATTCTCAGTCCATCCTGGTGCTTTAAACAACAGTGGTATACAGTACTGTATAGTTTGAATTTTAATGCAACTGTTAGGGACATAAAAGCAATTTTAGTTAATACTAGTGAGAAAAAAAATAATGTATATATATCTAAAAAATACTGTTCCCATATGAATAATTCTTGCACACAGCTAATTTTTCAGCATTATTTGTCCAGCTCTTCTTGCCTGTCTTGTGAAACAGCTGGCTGATGTTCTGCTGGCATCTACACAAATTGTGAAAGAATGAGAATGTCATATTCAAAATTATGGTATTCCACTATTTATAGAGAGCTCTATTTTGCTTCTACACTAAATAAATGAGCCATAGATAGAAGAATTCATAAGGCAAAACTGAGATTATCAGCTATGGCTTCACTCAGCCATGACAGCCCCTATTCTGCTGGCTACTGATTGCCACACCAAGCCAGCTACCGAGGAAGAAATTGTTAGGGGAATTAATGAACCACTGAAAGCCATAAAAAAATCAATAGTCAGAACAGCTTCCTTTGCTAGTTTCCTCTTGCTGTTTCTTTCTGGCTAGTTTAAAACAAAGAGGATGTCAATATCCTGAAATACAGCATACAAAAGAATCCATCAATATACCATCCTATAAGATGGTTGTAGAAGAAGCAGCTGCAAAATGTGATGTACATAGTTCTCTAGAGGACGAAGGTCAGTGACAGAAGATGGAGAAGGACAGAAGTATATTCAAAAGCTGGTACTGATACTATACAACTTAGGGACAAAAAGAACCATACTTCAACTGATCACATTGTTTCACTAGGCCAACTTCAGGGAAAAATAGGACAATAGGTAATACAACTGCCATTATTTAAAGATGAAAGGCAGATCCCTGAAAACACACCTGTTAAATTCAGTTCACAGAACAAGTCCCTGTTGAATACAGAAACCATGAAACAGGCTCTGTGGGTACTAAAAACAGAGGTACAGAGAAAGTAGCCAGGAAACATATTCTCCCTTTCAACATAGTCAAACTTCTTAAACCTCTTACTAATTGTACTTGCATACATTTCCTTCCTCTACAAATAGTCTTCTAAATTCAGGAACACCTTTATTACTTTCTGATCTTCTGCATCC